TTAGGTAGAAATTAATAATATTAAATAAAAACTTGTTCATGAGGTATGTTCATGAGTAGCTCGTGCATAATGTAATTTGATAGTGTACTATGAGCTACACATTTAGCAAGTAATTTACAACTTATAATAGCATGTGAGTAGCTCGTGCGTAATGTCATTTCATAGTGTACTATGAGCTGCACATTTGCCAAGTAATTTACAACTTATAATGGCATGAACAGAAGTTAGACTGGGTTCAAAGGGCAATAAAAAAATGAAATTTAAGTATAAATAGATGTATACTGCTGTGAATTTAAAGCTGCTTAGGAGAAACAAATGTAGTTTCATATTACAATTTTAAATCATTCTAGAAAAAAAGAGTAATTTAGATTTATTTCAATTTTTTCTGGAGGTTACAAGGTCAGTCAAATTGACCAATCTTGTATAAAGTTAGGATACAGAAAATAACAGATAAAATACAAAGTTTTATTGGAAAAAAAAAATTTGCAATTTATTTAGTAGGCTTTAAAGATTATGCAAATAAAATTTGAAATTTTTGAGACAAAGAAAAGTATTTTTAAACTTAATGTAGAAATCACTTAGCACTCGAACTATTATATAGAAATACTATATATATTCACAGACAAATCTTTAAGTAAAAATTCTTCCTTAAAACATCTGATTTTTGGTACACAAAAGACTTGTAATGTTTACTAAAAGTCTGCCAAATGTTGTGAAGATACAAAGAGTGTATTAAAAGTTATAGTATGGAAACTATAACAAGTACAAAAGTGGTTACAAAGTCAGTTGAATTGACCAACTTCATTGCGAGAGAGTTAATAGATATTTGACACACCATTGCTACAGTGTAAGAATGTTTCTATAGTTTCATAAAGTAGATGTAATTCACTACCTCTGTTTCTCAAGTACTGGTTGTCCACGAACGATCCAGAGATAACAATAATTTCTAGGATCATTTTCTGGCTCCTGGAAAGCAACTTTGACTACTGGTGAAAGTCCAGACTCTAGGAACGAGCTGAACCTGATAATGAGAATCAAAATGAATAAAAGTCATTTACTCCCAATAATATTTTATTAAGAGGCTCTATGTACACTGTTTCAATGATAGTACATGTCTTTTAAACAAGTAACTAATTAAATGTTTCTATCAGAATTACAAACATGTTTTGCATTAAAAAAAATACAATTAAAAATCAAAAACATGTTAAAATCATTAATTATAAATATTCATAATTTATAACTTAATAGTGTTACCAATCTAAAATTAAGTTCAAATTGATACTTATGACACTTGATTATATTAACACAAGTTGAATGCCTGTCATATGATGGGAAATAATTAGTTTTTCTTCTAAAAATTACATCTAAATAAATGTTTTATAAACATGTTTTTAAAAATTATTATAATTAGTAACAATAGATGTATGGGGAATGACTATCCTATTTCTAGTATTTAACAAAACATTTTTTATGTATATTTGATCATCTAAGTATAGCTTGATCAGCATTTTGACTTCTGTATATTTTTATTTTTTGTTCAAATGTTCTTCTTGATAAATCCTTATAGATTGAAACATGTAATAAACTAATTCTCAAAGACATATTCCTACTTGGTCAACTGTATGACCTTACAAATTATTAATTGTGATTGTAAAGGCAGTGAATTTTATTATGAATTTTGGGGTCTTCTCTTTGTATTGTATTCATGGTTTTGGCTTTGTTAGCCTGCTGAGCTGAAGAAATGTATTTTAATTTGGGCATTTTCAAAATTGAAATGTGCTGTGGATAAATCATGCGGATGATTACAGAATTGTAGCCAAGGGTTCTGATTAGACAAAATTTAAGGATGTTGCATCAGTGTGTCTACTTGACAACCAAGCAAATGTAATGTGCACCAGCTATAATATGCAGGAGGTGCACGTATGCCCAATTTGATTTTATTACTCATCATGATCTCTATCAACCAACCCTCAAATTTGGTTATCTGCCCAAAGTAGTGCAACATCCATATATATACTTATATACCCATATATATATATATATATACATGTCTGGATGGATTTTAAAAAGACAAACTTGCTTGTCGTGGCAGAAAATGCCGTAATTTCATACACGTTGCATGTCAATTGGTACCACAATGGCCAAGATATCGGCGTGATAGACGAATGGCATTTTGTCTTTATATATTAGATATTGACTTCTACAATGTAAACCTAATGTAATACCTAATTATATAAACAAGTTAGTTGTTACACTGTAAAATACTTTACACTACAGGTTACTTAAGGACAATAACTACTTAGGACTTTTTCAATGCCTCATGTCTTCAGGATATGACAGTTCATAATATTTCCAAAACAATGTCTTTTTAAAGCCAATATATACATTACATTTATAAGCATCAACAATTTACTTACTCCAAGGCCATTTTCCTCATATTCCAAATCTGAAATCCTCCAAAACTAAAACCTATGACCAAGGCAGTTAGAGGCTTCAAGTACTCAATACTGCTTACATATAAAGCATCATCTGAAAGATTTATACAGATGTTATCAGTAGAGATTTTAATATAAATACTTCTCACTCTGAAGACAACAGAGAAAAAACTTGTTTTGAACTTTGATAGAACGTGGAAATTTCTAGTAAAAACCCTAAATGTATAGACCAGTATTAATAACATTGTATGCAACTGTAAAGGTCTAGTGTTTTCTAGAAAGCCCCTAAACAAAGCTAACTATGCTAAAACCCAAACTGACATAATTTATATCAAGCCTTTAAATACCAGAAACTATACTTTCATGCACATATTGTGTTATAAAATCAAATACATAGCTGTTAGCATCATATTAAACACAACTTTTTTTTTAATACTAATGATTTAATTATAACTGTTTTATTAATTTTCATCAAACCATTAATGAATAACTGACTTTTTAAACTCCCCCAATCTTAATATCATAGTGTTTACCAATAAGTATTAAATTAAAAAAACTGCTTTAAAAACACAAATATATACTTCACAATGACAATAGCTTAAAACATGGGGAAAATTATATATAGGAATGTACTTAACAATGGCCTTTCATTAAGTGAAGAAATTTATATCACAATAACTACATATACTTAAAACATTAAACTTGTCTTTTGAAAATATTATTACCTTCATCTAAAGCTTTACACATCTAAAGACGGTAAATTATAATTGAAAATGTTTTGTCTTTACATCAAAACCAAAATATTTAACACTTCTTCTGTGATACAAGTTGTTATTCTGACATATAATACTTACCCACAATAAAACTATGTATGGGATTGTTATCTTCACTTTTATACAGGAAAGCACCTCGCTGAAGGCTGTCATCTATAGGGCATAATGTTTGTATTTTTTTTATGTATATCTAAATTTTGTGTAAAACAACCTAGTCACAAATATCCAACTCTTATGTTTATAGCTATTGATACATTATTCAATGAATGTAAAGTTATATTTATATATATAAACTTTCATAAAAGAACATTTCACAAATATTTCTTATTTTTATCTTAAAAATAAGCATATGGGACAAATTCAACAAGAAATTTCATGCAGGTGAAAATATTAATTTTTTAGTGATTTGCTTCACAAAAAAAAATAATTATAGAAGAATCTTATGCCATTTATTTGTGATGAAAGTAACAACAGAAAAGAATGATTTATCAACAATACCAATCCACAAAACAGCCTGGTCAAAAACACCTTCCAAACTTTAAAATGGTAAAAACTTAAAACTTTGTAACTAAACTGTGCAAGTGATCTAGAAAGTGAAATACAGTTTATATACTAAGTTAAGGTATGAATCTTTATTTAGTATTCATAGTGAAAAATATTTTTTTATCAATATCATTTTCAAAAATATCTACTGTAAAAAGTAAGACAATGTCATTCATGACCTTTTCACTGGTTTCTATGTATATGTATAATTTTATACACTAATTATAAATATTATCACAAGGTCTACAATCCTATGTCAGGAATGAGCTGCCAAGTAACAAGTCGTTTTTTTAATATTGCTTTTCAGCTTTCAGATAATAACTATATTATGTAAATAAGCCAAATAAAATAAAAAACAAGAACCTTTGAAGAGTAATCAATAATCCTATTATAATTTTTCCTTTAACTGGAAAATATAAGTCAAATTGGGAATTTTTTTAGAGAATGAATTATTTTTTAGAAATTAAGTGGAAGAGCAAAGTTACATACCATGTATTAGTGACACACACAGAATTCAAAATTCAGTTTTTTTGTGTCAAGTCCCATTTGTAGATGAATTGTTTGTAGAATTATACAATAAAATATAATAGTACAAAAAAAATGATGAGTTATTTTTGTTTTTATTTTCAAATGTGGGCTAATGCACAAATAGGAAAAACAAGGAAGCCATGGAATTGGCCCACACCGACCAATCCATTGCATTACACTTTTTTTTGCATGGTTGCCATTTTATGGGGCAACACTACTGCCTGGAGTGTATGATTAATTTTCGAGCTGTGAATCTGATTAACGTAATCTGACGTGTTTGTAATTCTTCACCAGACATCACTTCACTAGACTTTTTTTTGGGGGTATGTTAAAGACATCATGTGTCACACACCTATGGTAAACATCAATGAGCTAAAGACCAGGATAACACATGCCATCACCACTGTAACTGTGGACATGCTGTAGCAAACGTAGACTGAAATCGAATATTGGTTAGACATGCTGAAAGCCACTAGTGGTGGTGCACACGTAGAAGTCTACTGACATGTGAATAAAACTTGACTGAGTTGGGCTACAAGATGTTGAAACTGCATGGTTGTATTTCTTGATTTTGCCAGGAACTAAGGTATTTACTACTCTCTCCACTTCCTCCAAACAACCATTTGCAATTTGATAACTTCTTATTTTGGCTTGAGGCTCTAGGGTTGTATCATAACCCAGACCCTCTACTGTTAGAATTTCTAATGCCAATCACCACCTTTTGTGTTGTACTGCCCAAACTTGGCTTCCACATTGTACTTAATTAACGTATTATTGTCATATTTTCTTCTCAACTCTTACAAGCATTGGGAGAGGGCAGGATGTCAAAGCAAAAGCAATTCTTTCTAATTTAATTTCACTGCTAAAATATTTTTTCAAATATGCTGCTACACCTCTACTACAACATTAAGCTAGAATCTATACAATGAACTAGAGGAAGAGCTAGAATAAGTAGAGAAGTGCATGTCACTTCTAGGTATATGAAATAGCAATAGTCATTCTAGTCAGACCTCTATAATAACAAAGAAAATCTCCAAGGAAACAAGGGACTGGGGTAATGTTGCTCACTTGCTCCATTAGGGAGAGGATATGATCTGATAGCCTAATGAAACACACCAAGCAGTTTATTGATCCAGTGTAATGGAGAATATTAAGTACACACTCATATGGAACTTAGGAATATCAAAGTCAATGTTCACATCCTACAATGGTACTGCCCAGAGGAAATGACGAGTCATATTTATGGCAATGGCAACCACAATGAACTGCCAATAAAAACAGTGCAATTAGTTCATAACAAAGAGCAAATCACACTTCTGAACCCTATCCTTGAAACTGAGCAGTTAATGTTGTACTCAATCACTTGGTCATTAAAGAATCAGAGTAGTGATAAAAGGGTCCATCAACTTATTAACCCTCTTGCTACAGGCATCCTTTTCTGCACATGTCACTTAAGAACTTAAAACTTAGCTATGTTTTTATGCCAAGTTTATTTGTATATCATGATAAGAAAGTAGTTTAATTAACCTTTGAATGTAACTTGGTAAAACCTCAGGAACCCTTAATTAGCTATCAAGTGAGTAATCCCTATACATGGTGGAACAGTAACAAGCCACAATACCCTGTATTAGCTAAGATAGGTAAACATTACCTTAGTGCACACTACTTACAAATGTCCCATCGGAGAGAGAAAACTCTGGAACAGGTAATATTTATGATGATCATAGAAGCTGACTTTGTGCTGAGAAAGTGGAAATGTTATTATTAATGAAGTATTTTCATTAAAAATTTATCCATGAATAGTCCAAAGTATTGACTGCTGATCCTGATTGATAGAGATCCTGATGAGTAATAAAATTGAATTGAGTATACACATGCCTCATGCTTAATATTGCTGCCTTACAAAAATATAGCTAATTAAAAGGAATATCTCGTAGATTTATTTACTCTAACCCTGCCTAAAAGAATTTCAAGTGCTGTGGCTGTTGAAGATTCCTTCTTGTTTTAAATATTGCCTTATAGAAGCACGTAGTTGTTTACCATGCATTCATTTCCTTCCCCATTATTTGTGGATTCTTCTAAAATTTCTGCCAAATATTCCCATACTTTGCTAGTAGATTTAGATCCAGTATCATCAGTATGTTGCTTCTTTTTATGTGGCTCAACATCACTGTCCTCTGTAGATTCTGCACACATCTCTATCAGAAGTTTTTAGCTAAAGCTTTGGTATCAGGTTCAGAAAAAAACTTGTCCTTGTACCTAGGATCCCATGTTGTGGAAACAACCAATTTCAATCATTCTTAAATTTCACTAAATCTTTGTTTCAGTGCACTTAACATCTCTGACTTCATTGTACAGACTCCCAGAATCATCATCATGCTTATTCAATGCCTCTTCTAGAGCTCTCAGCAAAAGTATTAGCACAAATGCTGCTGCTGTATCAGTAGATATAATTTTTTGATATTTCTCTACAGGTTCCAGTATTTCAAATAATTTTTTGGTCAGCATTATATTCAGCTGCATATGCAGTCAGTGCCATATTTTTGCTTGCAAACTGACTGCAACGTGTAAAAGGTTAGGTTCCACCATGTTGGTTCATCCTGTACCAACATGTGTTTTTCCATGCTTAACATGTCTTGTATTTCATTCAGTTGATGGTAGGCTAAAGTAAAGTGTTTAGAATGTCCAACAATTCTGCAAGATACAGTCCAGACATCAAGCACTGCATACTGTGATAACACTCCTTCAGAACAACCAGCTGAAGTGTATATGCAAAGCATCCCAAGCTGGGCTGATAAGCATCTTGTGTGGCTATCATCACATTATTTGTATTGTTATGTAATATTAAATGAACTCTTTTCTTGCCTATGGCCCAATTCTGCAACATATCCTCAAGTTTTTCACACAAACATTCACCAGAATAAGACCCTTCACAGCTGATATTCTATCAAATCTTTAGTAATCCAGTGGGCTGTTAAACTTATCAGAGATTCATGAGCCATGTTGTAGCTCCAAATATCTGTAGTAAGACTCAAATATGGTACAACTCAGTTAGTACAACTCAGTCTATACTTGTTTTAATATTTGGTACAACATTATCTGAAAAATACTTACAACTTGATATAACATATCTGGGCTTAAGGGTTTTACTCAGATTATTGTTTGGCTGGTTGGTTGGCATTTTTTGGTGCAAAGCAACATGGCTATCTGCGCCAAACAACTGGTAAAAATCTTAAAAAGTAAAATTCAATAAAATGTAAAAATGAGTCGAGTTAAAACTAAACAATGTGCAAAAAAACTGATAAAAGATGCAAACAGAATTAAAAAGGCCAGTGGCTCGTAAAAATTTAAAAATACAATCAAATTGGACAGTGTCACTCTCACAAATGACACTGTCCACAGCCAGAATCTAAATCCTTAGAAAAAATTTGTCTAAACAGGTGCCGTTGCTCAGAGTAGTAACAACGGCAGAACAATAAAATGTAGGCTATTGTGACTTGAGTGTCACAAAGGCTACACATTGGTGGATCAGTCCAGATAAAAGAAAATGATGGGTTAAAAAACTGTGACCAATGCATAGCTTAGCCAGAACAATTTCCTCCTTCCAATCATTATGGAAACAAGACGACCAAAGAGCAACAGAAGGTTTGATTTGGAAAAGTTTCTTATTACATTGCTCACCCCAAGTCAACTGCCAACTCGTGCAAAGCCATGCCTTGAATACAAGACTATAGTCCATGTATGGGACAGGCACAGCTGTGACAGCACCAGAGCAGACAGACTTAGCTGCAGTGTCAGCCAGCATGTTCCCTTGAATACCAACATGGCCAAGTATACAGAAACACTGGATAGTAATGGAAGATGAAGAAAAATGGGCCAGCCTTTGTTGAATATCGACGAGAACAGGGTGAAAACTAATGTTTAGCAATTCCACAGCCAGTAGAGAGCTAAGAGTCAGTGTAAATAGTACAGTCAGTGTACTGCAAAGCTTCTACATGATCCAGGGCAAGAGATATGACATACAACCCAGCAGTGAACACAGAAACTGTAGAGGAGACCCTGTGAACCACAACAAACCATGG